ATAACGCCCGCTTGTGTATAGGGATCTGTGGGGGCGGTCAGCTGCAGAGAGGTGGGCAAAGGAGCGGGGTGGTGGTGACACAGTCGATCCAAATGGTTGCCTATATTTTTGAAGTCAGGTTGATAAGGAATCGATAAGTGATACTGTTGATAGAACCATAATTGATTAATTCTTGTCAATTTCCAACAAGACTGTTTAAAGATTTCTGGTTTTACAGAAAGATTTAGGGATAACCGATAATATCAGCCAACCAATATTATCAGCCAATATTTGCATAATTTGATAATATCGGTAAAAATTGTTATCGGTTTTTCCTCCAAAAATGAATACCCGGCAACAAAATGCCTGGGTTTTGCCCAGATGATGTGACCTAAAAATGCAAACCTCCAACCCAAACCGCTGCACATGTCGGTATCGATTAACATCGGAATCGGAAATTAAGTGTTTGGACAATATGGGCATATCATATATCGGAAAATAGTTAACATCCCTAGAAAGATTTGTTTCTATTTGATCGACAGTAATGAGTCTTGCGTAAGCCTTGCATAAACTTCGGTGAGGGGGTAAAAGCACTTCGTTGTGTGCAGTGGTGTGTTGTGTCACAATGAAAAATAATTCACTTTCACTTTCACTTTCAATGTGAAGATAATAAAACTGGCTGTAGACATTTTCCTGCTTGGTGTCCTCACTCAGGTTGGGGTTGCTAAGATGACTTTTTTAAGGGTCTTACTGGCAGGAATGTTTTCATAAAAGCACGCTGAGCTGAGAATCTGATAAGACGTCTTTCTCCAAACTCTCCTTTGAATTCCTGCTCCACACTCACTTGTTAAACAGGTTGAGTCCAATGCGGTACTGTCGCCGCTGAACTACATCGTTGTTGAAGGCGGGTGAGTCCCAGCTTTGGCGACTCTCCCTCTGATAGGTCTGCTTCCCCAGAGTGGCCCCGGCCATGGGCTCTCGGAGGCTGTCGCGTGACGAGGAGCCGGAGCTGCAGTTGTTAACGGTGGTATCGTCGTTGGAGTTGGTGGTGGTGGAGTTCACGCTCTCATTGTCTCCGTCGGAGCAGAGCACGTGGTGTTGGTGGTGATGGTGGTGGGCAAGGTGGTGGAGGTGAGGGAGGTGCTGCTGCTGCACTGCATCCATGTTTTGGAGAGGGGACGAAGACAGCGGCGAGGGCGTTAGCGGCGGTGGCAGCGGTAGAGGGGAGAGAGGCGGCACGGACGAGGGCAAGGGGGAAGACGGGGGTTCTGGGTAAGCGTGGGGAGGGTGGTGGTGCAAGTGGTGCAAGTGGTGGTAGTGGTGTTGGGCGTAGTGGTGCGCCTGCTGCAAGTACGAGGGGCTGACGCCACCGCCGACGTGGCTGTGGTGCATGTGCATCAGGTGTGGCTGGCTGTACTGGTGCGGGTGGTGGTGGAGGATGGTGGGGAGGTGAGGTAGAGGCGAAGGATGAGGAAAAGGATGAGGGTGAGGGTGAGGGTGAGGTTGGGAGGGTTGGAGCGGATGGGAGGGCAGGGTTCGAGCCGAGGGCAGAGGCAGGGGGACGTTGGATGGACTGCGGGTTTGACCCTGAGCCGTAGCGACTGAACGGCCGTTTGGTTTGTGTTTGATGGTTCCCTGTGGAGACTCAGTTTCGCTGCTCCCTCCTCCGCCTCCTCCTCCGCCACCTTGTCGCTCGTCCTCTCCACTTTCCCCCTCACCTTCTCCTCCCCCTGTCCTCCTCTCCCTCTCTGTTCCTCGCTCAACTCCTGAAGGCTCCTGCTCATAAACCAGGCGCCCAATAGAGCCTCTCTCTGACCTGTGGATACAAAATAGGTTCATGTTGAGAGATTCCAATAACCAAAGAAGATACTTTTTTTTCTTTTTAGTAAATGACATATGTTAGTGTCTCTTTTTCTGCACAATATAAATCCAACAATACATCACCAAACGATGTCACATAAAGAATGAAATTACATGTAATGTTCTACAGCAGGGGTGTCAAACTCATTACTACCAGGGGGCCACATCAGCAATACAGTTCCTGTTGAAGGGCCGGTTGTAACTGGAAGACTGTATAGATCAGGGGTCCTCAACCCCCGGTCCACGGACCAGTACCAGTCCATAAATCATTTGGTACCGGGCCGCAGTGGGACGCAGTGAAGAAATGTACTTAATTTGAAATAATTTACTTCATTCGAAGAAAGTCCAGTCATATCCATTTACTTTCTTTAGTTAAAGATAATCTGGCAATGTTTCAAAATAATAGGTCATTCAGACTCTGATACAAACAAAAAGATGTTTTATTTCGAAATTTTAATGATCCTTCGATGCTCAGCACCTTGCTACCAGTATGTAGTAACGGGTGGTACTGGCTGACCAGTCCTTGGAACAAAAAAGGTCAGGGACCACTGATATAGAACTACTCCATTACAGACTAATACATGTTTCTGCAATTGATTATTATTTGATTGATTATAAAAACTTTTAATTTCTCAGGTTAGGAAACTCTGCTGCATGGACTTTACTAAATGCTTTTTAAGTTCCTGCGGGCCACACAAAACGGCTCGGCGGGCCGCATTTGGCACGTATGATCTAGGACATAAAAACATCAGGAGAGTCTGATTCAATGTATTCGCAGGTTACAGTGTGAAACCTGGGCCTGTTTAGTTGAACACAGCCGTAATATACATGCAGGAATGAAAGAAAGACACAAGACAAAGACAAATTACTATAAATAAATAAATAATAGCTTAAGACCAATTCATTGAATTTTTAAAATTCTAAAATATTTGATGCGTGTTTTTTGTAACAGCTCTGTGAATGGCGGTGCTTACCTGTCACTCATGTCCACCGAACTGTCACTAGGTGGTTCAATAGTGAGCACAGGCAGGTGTCCTCCTCCTCCTCCTCCTCCTCCCCCCGTCCCCACCCTCCCCCTGTACTCCACTCTGCACTCTGTACAGGGTGTGCTGCTCCTGCGGCTTGTGCTGCTGCCTCCCTCAGTTTCCCTACTGTCCTCTCTCACTCCTCCGCCTCCTCCTCCTGTCCCTCCTCCCCAGTATTCTGTGTCTGAGCTGGAGGCGGGGCGGGAGAGTGGCGAGGACGGAGGGCGGGACAGTGGGGATGAAGGGAGACAGCCCTCATCCAGGTAGAGGGTGATATCGCTGAAGGAGGTGGCAGTACTGTCCTCATGCATGGCGCCACCTCCGACTACTCTTCCTCCCATGCCTCCTCCTCCTCTCCCGACCCCTCCCAGCCGCCCCACAGTGTGTTGGGGGGATGCGTTGGTGTTGCGCCACGTGCACTGTCTGTAATCCTCGTCCTCATCCTCCTCATCTTCCTCCTCTTCTTCTTCCTCCTCCTCATCCTCATCGTCCTCGTCATCGTCCTCTCCTTCTCCTCCCACATCCTGGGAGTCTTCTCGTCCTGACTGGCAGGTCAGGGAATCATCTATGGAGTCGGCCAGAGACTTTACCTGTGCAACACAAAAAGATGTTTCATGACGACTTAGCTAAACTTTTTTTCCAAGTGTATCGTAACATGTTCGTGCTTTTGAGTGGAGGCAAACGTGTTTACCTGCTTAGAGAAGGAATCGTCGGCATCTCCTGGGTCCTCTGAACCCTGCTGACCTGTTGACCCCTGACACTGCGGTGGCCGCTCGTCAAAGGAGTACTGGATCCAGCAGAAAAAAAAAAACCCATTAGAATAAAAGATTGACATCAGCCACTCACTTTCACAGAGAATTCCGTGATTTCAATCCACAGCAGATGTTCAGGTTTAAAAAAAAAAAATTCTTGGAGTGAAACCTTTTTAACAAAGGGATTATTGAATTCAACGTCATCGTATGAATCAATAAATCATTCATTTCACTAAGACTTCAACAACTATTACGGTGGTCCCTCGTTTATCACGGTAGCTAGCTTCCAAGGCCTGCCACGAGAACTGAATTTCCGCGAAGTAGCGACACAATTTTACGTCCCCCCCAAAGGGTGGTGCCATGACATCGTCCATTTTGTTGCAAAATTTGACCGATCGAACCATGTCGTCGTCCCATTCCTGTGACATCTCTTGCAGATCCAAATCCGGGATACAGTATATTTTATATATACAGTTTTCAAAAACCCGCAAAGTCGTGAATCCACAAAAGATGAACCGCGAAATAGCGAGGGACTACTGTATTAGTTTCTGAGCCTAACACATTACGTTTGTGTGTGAATGATTGTACCTGCATCCTCATGTTGGACAGGATAATACGTCGGGTCATCCTGCTCTCTGAGGCGGAGCTTCGGAGCCTCTCAAAGTTCTTGTTCATGCGGTACTGTCTGAAGGCTGTCTGGATGGTCCTGGCAGCTCGCCGAGACACAAACGGACCGCCATACTTCCTCTCCAACATTTCCACCTACCAAATTATACGCGGAACAAAACACAGTTAATATAAAACAATTCAAGCACTTTTTTTGTAGTCTGAATGCTATTACAACAACTCTAATCTGGACCATCACAGTCCTGTGCTGTTTATTCTGACATGGCCTCAATTTAATATTTACTGTGGTTACAGTGCGGTGCAGGAAGGGAGCGCTCAGCTCTACCTTTTTGTCCTGGAGGTCCGTCGAGAGCTCATAGCTGTCAGACAGAGCCTTGCAGCGTTTGCTCTCCTCCTCCTCTTGCTTACGGAGCGCCAGGCTGGCTGGCTGGTGTCGGCTGCGCTGAGCCCAGGCCAGGCTAGCTGGGCTGGGGGGAGATATGGGAGAGCTGCCCTGAAGCAGGAGGAGAGTAGAGGATAGGAGGAAATTAGAAAAAAACATTTTAGATGAGTTGTCCAAAAAGGTGGATTGGTTGGATGCAGATGTGTGAAGGAACAAAAAAATTTTTTTTTAAATGATCACACTTTCCAAAAAGACTCCCCACGTAATTTCTATTCAAGTTGAGCTGTAATGCAGCTCTCCAACACCAAAGTCCATGGAGAAACAACTGGAATCTCCCCGGGACACAGAAGCTTCTGGTCTACTGCTTCCTCCTGTGCTCGGTTTATTCTGAGGTAAATCTAAATTTAGCAGTATAATAACCTAAACCACAAATGAACGCTGTTCAACTTAACAATCGAGAAATAGGTGGATGGAAAAACTCTGCTGTGCTGTAAAAGTGATTTTAATCCGTGGTGTGGAAATGAGCTGTTTACAAACTTCAGTTTTCTGTACTGATATCAATGCTGAACTTTTATTATTATTTATTACTAATATCAGGGATGGCTTGATACAACTTTTTCATGTCCGATACCGATACTGCAACCTGGAGTATCTGCCGATACTGATATCAATCGGACGGGCTATAGTTTTGTTGAATGTCTGTTCCTGAAATTCCATTTCCTTCAGCATGCCGTGGGCTGCCGCTGCTGAGGCGATAGTGTCGCTGTTGCGCATTGTTACGTCGAGCATTTGGGCTTAGATATCGGCTCGGACGGGCTATAGTTGTTTTGTTGAATGTCTGTTCCTGAAATTTTGATATTGATTTAATAACGATCCTAACTTTCTAGTTATTATATGTTGTTTTCTGATAATGTGTATGGCCTCTTTTGTTGCAATCTATAAACAAATTTTTTCTTTCGTTTGTTTGTTCATGTTAAAGGTAAGTACCTGAATGAGTGTGTGTGGGACACCAAGTGGCCTCCTGATGGAGGAGGAGCTGCTGGGGTCACAGGGGCTGGAGAGAGGACTGTTGCTGTAGAGGTATAAGGGGGGCAAGTGGCCAAAGGAGGAGTCAGCATATGTGAGCGACTCTGGACACTGGGAGTCACCCTCCACACTGACAGAAAAAGAAAGAACGACAGCTTTTATCATCTTGATTATGTTCATCACATCAGATCAAACTAGGTCAGTTTTTCAGGAAACCTTAGAGAAAAAAAAAACATTATGAAAACAACATGAAACAGAATGAGGACAAGGAGAAAAAATGCAACAGGAGGAGAAAGAGAGAAGATGAAAACTGCCTGGCCTGAGAAGAACAGGAAAAGACTAGATCAGATCATATCAAACGATACAAAACCATCCATCCATCCCAAGACATTGACTCATTTATTATTGATTAACAATGTTAAGACGATATCAGGGTGCAGTTTTTGTCTAGGTCAGGGGTGTCAAACTCATTTTCACCAGTGGGCTAGGTCATCAATACAGTCCCCCTTGAGGGGGCAGCTGTGAATGACGACTATGTAACTACTACGTAACATATTAATACACGTTTCTGCAATTGATTCTAATTGAAGTTACCAATATTGTACACTGCTCTGTGTAAAAAAAGTTAAGAAACTCAGCAGCATGGATTTTATTATTACTTTTTAAACTCCTGTGGGCCACACATAATGACTATACGGGCAACATTTGGCCTGTGGGCCTTGAGTTTGACACATGGTCTAGCTACTCTGTTTTTTGTGGCACTTCAAAACCATCATCTGAGTGACTTATTCTTGTCTTTTTTTTTTTTACATTTTCAACATAGTCAAATGATTCGTAGAAATGTTTTCTTTTTTACTAAGGCATCTTTAACGCGTATTTCTCAGTGTTAAACAGTTATACAATACAATTATATTCACAGTAGTGTTGTAGAATGGCGACAAAGAGCAAAGTGAACGAGAGAGATGCTACGATGCATGAGCCAATCAGTGTGAGGGACAGAAGAGTGTGCTCAATTAGCCAATAGTGCACGTAGTATGCATTATATTAGCCAATAGCGTGCTGTGTACGATCTCCTCTAGGTAAACAAAACTACCAGCGACTGTTCGCGAATGCGAGAATCCACATTTTTTAAGGCCAAAAAAAATCTGATTAAAAAAGGAAGAACCACGATATAGAGAGGGAACATTTTTATAATGATACATTTTAATCTAAACTAATGATTAGGCCAACAATAAGAACCAATCAATAAACTGACATTGTTTCACAGTTTTGTGACGCAAAATGTTATTCAATACCACTATTTTGTTAAGACAGAAAATATGAAGAATAAATGAATCAGAACTCATTTCTGAGGCTCTCTACTGTATAGGCTAAGGTCTAAAGCACAACAACATTACAAATGAATAATCCTGAATGCAAATTGAATTAAAAGAAGGTATCATTAGATTCAACATCAAAGAGGCTTTTCACTGTTGATCTGAGATAATGCGATGTTGGCAGAGAAGAAGCTAATGTGGGCACACCCCCACACTGACACATACATGCTGTGTTAGCTGTGACTCACCCTCATGTGACTCACTCAGTATGTGTGTGTGTGTGTGTGTGTGTAATGTACAAGCTGAAGACAGGGATGATGTGGCATTTTCATCCCCGAAACCTTGATACATGTATTGATATATTTTGTTGTTTTACTTGAACATGCACGCAGCAGTCATAAAACCCAGTGAGGCACTGCTGTAACATCTGCACTGTAGCCAACCGCCAACTGTTTTCTCCCCCATCACTCTCCCACACCGAAGGCTGCGGAGGGAATCGGTCCGTCTGCATCACAGAACAAAGACGCTGTTGATCCACTACAGTATTAAAATCTTTCTGTACCACAAACCATACCACACGGGTGGTCTTTGAGTGAGTGAGTTACAAACTTTCCCGATGAACAAGTCTGTCTAATGTTGCGATGTAGCTGTCTACATACGAATATACGGACTGTAACAGTCAGAATTATGAAATTCACCTTTAATACCTGTTGCCTGGTAACCACTGTGACAGAGCCATAGAATTAGAACTTTGTACAACACACTGTTGAGGTGGGCTCTGAGACACGATGTATTTTGCCGTGCTTTTGTATTAGCACCATGACTTAGAGTGATGGCTTCGGATTATTGAACACTTTTTCTACTTATTTGTATATGATCACTAGCAGTACTTTATAAGTCGATATTCATTTTTGATAATAAAAGACAAGAGTTGGGAAATCCAGCTTGTATATGGCTGAGTTATGCTACGGTGAATGAACTACTGTCAGGAACAAGCTGTTGCAAATGCTACGGTGAATGGACTACTGTCAGGAACAAGCTGTTGCAAAACTGTACATAAATTCACATTATATAGACACACAGATACACACACAGATACATATATTTATACTTTTTATCTGAAACCTTAATCCTTAAATTTTTTAAATGTTTTGAGAGGAACCATTACAAGTTATTCAGTTTCGGCTTCCAGCTACTTTCCTTTAGTTAGCGGTTAGCACAGGAGACATCGCTCTACATGTGAAAGGCATTTAAAAAAAGGAAGAAAAAATGGCGGCATTGTAAAGGAAGAACTCAGCAGAAAAACAACATGTATATTTTTATAATATTGAAAAGAGGAAAAACCCTATAGTCCACATCAACATGCTTAAAATATACACAACCGTTTATTTTGCACATCTGTCTAGTCTCACCAGGTTTGATATCGTAGAAGTAAAAAAAAACCCCCATCGTGAAGAATGAACAATGTTTGTAACTGAAAAAGAACGTAAAGGCACGTGTAAAAATACTTCATTTTAAGTTGGAAATTTCTCACTAATATCGTCATACAAACATAGTAACAACGTATTTTTTGGATTTGTCACGCTGCATTTCTACTGCTGCAGATCAGCATGTGAAATTTTAATATCCAAGCCGTCGCTTAGAGGGGCAATAAGCGGGGGTGGGGGTAATAATGACTTAGAATCTATCAGTAGCGTTGTGCTGAGACCTGCAAGTATTACAACAGGAAACACACACTGACAATAAACACGTCAGTAGTTATTAGGATTTCAGGTTCCTGATCAATATTCTTTCTATGACCAATTAGAACCTTCTCTGCCCTGTAGGCCTACACTGCTCTATATTAGGACACAGAAGAGAGCTGTGTGTCAGCGAGGCCCAGTTTAACTAGGCCTTGTTTTACCAGAGAGAGAGGGAGAGAGAGAGAGATGGGGATAGATAGACATTCAGATGGGGGGTGATAGATAGAGAGAGAGAGAGAGAGAGAAATAGAGAGAGAAGATAGATAGATAGATATAGATAGATAGATAGATAGATATAGATAGATAGATAGATAGAGTGTGTGTGTGTGTGTGTATGTGAAGTAAGGCTCATTATCCAAACAGGCACCAAATGGCACCAAACCCTGAGGCATGGAGTGGCAACAACACATTTACCTCCCTCTTTGTGTCTTGTTTATCCCTACAGATGGTCTTGTGTGTGTGTGTGAGAGAGAGCGAGAGAGCGAGACGGTGTGTGTGAGCGCGTGTTCGTTGTAAACATGTTTTCAGGTTTTTCCTCTGGTTTTAACAGTCGTACCAGCCAAACTGAGCGGGCCAAGTCGAACCAAGTCATTTTAGTTGCATCATTACTCCTCTCCCCCACTTCCCCCCTTTACTTAAGAAGGACTTAAAGTGACAGAGACCTTGAAAATGTGTGCTGATCCGGCAAACAAATACTCCATAACAGCTTTTTAGTACAACCGCCTGCCCACCGGTAAAACCAGTGTTGTGTGTTGCTGAGTTCGGTGCGTTAATGCCCTCAAATAATAACTTAATAGTAACAAAAACAAACAATCCTGACAAGAAATTATACAGCAGTGATAAGCAGTCAGCACAATCTAGTGCTTTTTGGTTTCAAAAAACAAATGAGCGTGAACTACGGTGGTGGCATTGAAGATTCAGAGAGACCCTCCCTGGAGGATGACATAATGATGCAAACTGATTTGAATACTGAGGATGGAGGGGAGGACCATGTACATGGAGGTGAACGTTTCCACTTTGGTCCAGAAATAGGCTCGACCAGCTACAGTACATGATAAACAATAGTTCAAAAGTATCATTATGCAATTTAACCAATGTTAACGGTGTAAAAATTACATCGTTTTCAAATCAAAATGGCGCACACACATCCACATACATATGGCATATGGATAATTAATTGGCATCTGGCGATCCATTTGTTTCCCAAATATGGTCCAACATGACAGCCATACATTAGAGGAAGTCTAAAATCAACGCTCAATCTTAGACTTCAGTCATACAGTATGTCCTGTTTTAGTATTCAAAAAAACTTCTGAATTTCTTTATTATAGGGTGAGATAGCGACTAAACTCACTGTGGGTCCCTTGGATTTAAAATTAACCCACAACCCTATAACATCTCTGATGCAGAGGAAACACCATAAGAAAAAATTGTTATTTTAATATTTGATTCTTTGTATCTATCTATTCATCCATCCATCCTCCATCCATCCATCCACCCATCCATCCATCCATCTACCCACCCACCCATCCATCCATCCATCCATCCACCCACCCATCTATCTATCCATCCATCCATCCATCCATCTATCTATCCAATCATATCCAATCATCCAATCATCGATCAATAGTTAGATAGACAGATAGATAGACAGATGTTTTATCTCTCCTCTACCAAAAAGGCGAAATGCAACCGAAAATAACGCAACTCTGTTCTAACGAGTTGCGGGAGGAAAATCTGTGTCTCTGATCTGGGAGGGGAAAAAAAAACAGACACGATCTTGTAAACCTAGTCAGACAGCCACAGTTTAAGTGACAGATTTTAGATGCTGATTTGCATGTAAGAACACACTCATAGATGTGGGCTGAGTGAAGGCTTGCCCAGTGTCAAACGTGCCTGCTGCTGGGACGTGCTGTTTCTTTCATTCACAATCCAGGGCTCGTCTGAGTGAGCTGAGCTGCTTATTAATGTAAAGTTGGTGACTCGAGCGAGCACCGATCGGTTCCTGCCATTATAATGTACCAGTGGAAGTTGGACTTTGTTCTGCTTTGCATTAACAAGGTTCCCATTGA